GGTCGTCAGCCCGGTATCGCTGGACGCGTTGGACAAAAGGCAACCCCAAACGCGAGAGAGTTGCGCAATTTAGAATAAAATCCGCATTTTAAGTCGACATTTTCGTATTTTGGCCCAGTTTGGGTGCGTAGATGCCCGAAACTGCTCCGAATAGACCCCTCGATGGTGAATCTACCGGTCTCGATCCCAAGGAACATGTTAGTTGCAACTCTCGAGGCCGGCACTTCCACTTCAGCCGACCCGATTCGCCGAAAATATGCCTATTTTACGGCCGCTCGACGGGCCTCGAAACAAAGAATACGGCTTTTCGGGCACTTCTGGTGCCAAAAACCTATGGCTAGATGGCATCACGGACAGCCCCATCGACGGAACCAACCTCCTAGAGCCGCCGGTCGAAGCCTCTCGACTCAAAACGACCGCCGTAGAGCCGGTTCCGTGCCTCGAGATCCGCCTCGTACTCGATTCGGGGCCCCGCCGACCCGTAGGTGGTCGAGATTCCTGTGTTATTTGGTGCGGCTAGTCGCCCACGCCCCGGGGGGGCTTCGATCCGCCGAGAGGACGAGAAGAGACGACTCAAAACGACCGACGTGGCATCGATTCGGAGCCCGGAGATACCGCCCGTTCGCGAATACGGGCCCCGCCGGTCCGTAGACGGTCGGGGTTCCCGCGTCTTTTTGTGCGGCGAGTCGCTCCCGCCCCCGGGGGGCTCCGATCCGTCGAAAGAACGAGAAGATCCTGCGGCGTTGAGCCGCGTAATCGCCAAATTTGACCATTTTTGCCTTCAACTTGCATTCAAAATACGCCTCTGGCAAGCCAGCCAGCCAGCCGGGTTTCGACCCGGCCGGAAGCAAGCCGGCCAGAGAGGCCTAGGGAGACGGGATTGGGCCGGCCGGCTGGACCCAAGCCAGCCGGGCAAAATCGCCGGCCGGTTGCCGTCGGCCTTTAGCCGGCGGGGCACGGTTCTCTAGCGCCACCCGCCGCCGGCGAGCCGGATGTTGAAGTCAAAGCGCCGATTTTGCCGCAAAACTATGGGCTTGCGATGCGCCGTTCGCCCTGCTAGACCTTGCTGAGCGCGCCGGTGTGCGTGGCACGGTGCCGTAACAACAGCGCCTGACGACCCGACGCCAACAGACCTCTCTCGAAGGGCATCCGACGCAAGATCAGCAGCCGAAAGCATCAGCCGCAGCGGAAAGACATGGAAGGGCTCCCGGTCATCCCCATCGTGGCGCAGTTCCTCGACTCGAGCTCGGCGCTGCGGCTGCTGCGGTCGTGGAAGGGCGCGCGCGCCGGTTCCCTGACGCCCGCGGGCAAGTACCGCCTCTGGACCTTCGACTGCTGCGGCGACCGCCAGGAGCGCGCGCTGTCGTCGCGCTGCGACCCGGGCTCCGTGCGCGTGCTCCGGGTCCACCTGCGTCGCGGCGACCGCGACGGCTACGGCGCCGCGCTGCGGGCCTCGCGCGGCGCGGTCCGCACGTCGACGTGGGACGACACGACGTGGACGGCCCAGGACGGCAAGTTCTTCTTCCGCAAGTCGAACTTCGCGAACTGCGAGGCCGTCTGCGTCGTCGGCGCGCCGCGCCGGAGCCGCATGTGCCAGGTCCACGCCGGCGCGGCGCTGGCCGCCGGCGTCGGCCTCGACCTCCGCGGCCGGGGCAACGTGCTGACGCGCGCGAGCGGCATCTGCGCGGTCTTCGCCGTCGCCGCGCGGCCGCTGTGCTTCCGCCTGCGCGTCGGCGACCACGGCGAGACGTTCACGTGCGCCTTCGCCGCCGGCGGCCACCGCCACGGCAGCTCGAACTTTTGCCGCGTCGGCGGCGGCGACGGCTCCGACTCGGACGACTCGAGCGACGCCGACTCGGACGGCGAGACCGTCGACGCGCGCGTCGACGTGCTCCGCGTCTTGGACGCGAGCGGCTTCCGCATCGACGACGTCGCCCCGTCGACCGTCGAGTGGGTCCTCGACGCGTCCATCGGCGCCGACTTTTACGACGGCGACCGCCGCGACGCCATCAGCGGGCCGCGCGTCGTCTTCGGCGCGTTCCGCCTGCTCCTCTTCCCCCACGGCATCGAGGGCCGGCGGCGGGACCGCGCCGCCTTCTTCCTGCGGCTCGAGCTCTACGGGGTCGTGCTGCCGACGGAGACGCGGCGCTACGACGTCGCGGTCGACGGCGCCCACGTCGGGACCATCGCCCACAAATTCGCCCTCGACGACGAGCTCGCGGGCCTCGTCGACGTCGGCGCGTCCGCGGAGCTCTTCGGCCGCCGCCGCCGGCTCGTCGTCCGCATCACGGAGCGGGCCGCGGGCGAGCCCCCGCGGGACGACGACGGCGCGACGGTGACCATGGGCGCGTGGACCTACCGCAAGGCCGTCGCGACGCGCGACGGGGCCCACCTGCGGCCGGCGGCGACGAAGTCCATACTCCGCGCGAGTTCCGGCTTCGGCGGCTCCTTTGAGGCCTAAGACGGGCGGCTCCTTCGTGGCCTTAGACGTGCAACTCTAGCAAACGCCTCCCTTTCAGTATCCTTTCCGGTCCGGGGGCGGCCCCGAAGTACACGCGACGGCGGTGGTTGCTTTTTATAAGAAGGGGGGGACGACGAGCGGGCGGCGCGCGGGCCGCGGGCTTTATGCCGTCTCCTTGTCCTTGTTGTAGAAGTAGGTGTGGCCGGTCTTGCCGCAGTAGTAGCGGTCGAAGTGCTGGGCCATGAAGCAGCCGTCGGTGCCCGCGGCGGGCGAGTACTTGCGGAGGCGGACGACCTTGCCGTCGTCGTCGACCTTGTAGAACCGGAGCACGCGGAGCTTGTCCTTCTTGCGGACGTGCTTCGCCTTCTTGGGCTTCGTGTACGTCTTCTTCTTGCGCTTCTTGCCGCCGCCGCGCAGCCGGAGCACGAGGTGCAGCGTCGACTCCTTCTGGATGTTGTAGTCGCTGAGCGTGCGGCCGTCCTCGAGCTGCTTCCCGGCGAAGATGAGGCGCTGCTGGTCCGGGGGGATGCCCTCCTTGTCCTGGATCTTCTGCTTCACGTTGTCGATGGTGTCGCTGGGCTCGACATCGAGCGTGATCGTCTTCCCCGTCAGGGTCTTGACGAAAATCTGCGGGGGGGCGGACGCGTCGGCGCTCGGCGGCGCGCGCGGCGGTCGGCGTCCGGCGGTCGGCGCGTTCGGCGTCGCCGTCGTATGGGTGCGGCTCGCAGCGCGCGCGGGCCGGAGGGCGGGGGCGCCCCCGCGGCCCGGCGGGCGTCGAGCGCAGCGTCCCGACGGCGACGGCGCTCTCTCGATCGGCGAGACGCTCTCCGCGCGAAAAAAGGCGGTGCCTCGTCGTGTCACGGCGCCGGGTCGTGCCTGCATCGTAACTGGGTGGCAGGAGGTCAAAGCTCACTGCCTGTCAACTCCTCAAGAGCGCTCTATCGTCGGAGATGAGCGAGGCGGGCTGTCGATCGCGGGACGAGGCTCGCTGAACTCTCTGTCCGAGAGGATCTTGTGTCCGGGGGAAGAGAGGAGCATGGCAGCTATCCGCGGCCGCCAGGCAGCGCTGTTGCTGCTGCTGCTCGTCCAATCCCAATCGCTGCAGTTCAGGAATAAACGCACGACAAGAGTTCTCCCACGCGCGTCGCCGCTCGCGTCCCTCCCCGTCCCCGACTCGGACTGGATCGACGAGAGCGGCGGCCGCGGCGAGTGCTGCGTGCGGTTCCTGCGCAAGGCCGACGGGCCGCGGCAGCGGGTGCCCGATGGCGCGCTGTGCACGGTGCTCTGGACGGCCTGGCTCGCGGAGAGAGCCGGCCGCTGGTGGGTGCGGGGCGACCGCGTGGGCAACCTACGGCCCGACGCGGAGCTCGAGTTCACGCTCGGCGGCGGCATGGGCGAGGCCACGGTGTCCTGGGACCTCGCCGTGGCGCGCATGGCCCCCGGGGACCGCGTCGAGATCGTCGCCGCGGCGGCCTACGCCTTCGGCCCCGGCGCGGAGCCGCACGTGCCCGCGGACGCGCGCCTCGTCTTCGAGCTCGAGCTCGTCGCCGTCCGCGACTGGGCGTCCGAGGTCCAGGTCTTCGGCGCGGACAAGGTCGACGACGACGAGAACGACGCCGTGCTCCAGCGGGAGCTGCGCCTCGCCACGGAGGACGGCGGCGACGGCGCGGACGGCCTCCTCGACGACCTGAAGGTGAGCCGCGACGACCTCGACTTCGGCGGCGACGACGACGACGACGCAGACGACGCCGCGGGGGCGTGGGCGGCGGGGTCGG